ATCTGAAGAGACCTCTCTATAACCCCTCTTCCATCCTTTCAAACTTCCAAACTTTACTAAATTGCTAAACCTCTGTCCTTCTAACTTCCTACATTCTCCCACACTATTGAACTCTATCTCACTTTCCCCTGTGGTCATCATTCTGAAGGCGTTCCATTGCCAGCTAAATCCACGGGAGAGTTTCCTAGTCTGAATTCCGGGTGTGGTGAGATTGTTTATTTGATTTTGCATTACCTATTTTCTCTGTTGTGTGGAATCATAGAATTACCTTAGTGTATCACAACAATATTGGATAGTTATATATATATGTAGAGAGATCCTGTTTTACTGTTAAAAATTGTTTGGTGCCATATTATAATTTTTTTTCATATTTCATAATTTATTAAATATTAATAATCAGAGTATAATTTATCAAGGAATAGCTTCTTACAATCCTATGGCCACGGCTTGTGAGAATATAACCTTTGAGATACTCAAAATTATTAGTTATTAATAAATTTAATTTTTAATCAGATCATTTAGAAATTGTGATATTGATTTAATTATTTGGAAACATTAGTATTGTGTATTACATTGGTAGGATATATCTTTGATTGTGTGTATCAATATTCATCTATCACCAGTCTTTTGCGTTTTGTGTTAATATATATATAATTTTTGTACATAAATAAATTTTTATATTTATCTATTATAAGGCAAATTTTGTGTGTATGGTACGAAATCATATTGGCTAAAAGAATTCAAGGTATAATAATAAGTGGTGATCAAATTATCAAGGTGTCCAAATTATTGGTTTACTAAATATTTGCCGTATTTTAACGGCTGGAGGCACTGTAATATTTCATCTAAGGGAAAGGGACACGCCCTTTATAAATATAATATATCCTTACATAAACCACCACAGTCCGCAGTCTCTGGTCATCCCCTGTACTGTGTCCGCAGTCTCTGTTCATCTCCTGTACTGTGTCCGCAGTCTCTGGTCATCTCCTGTACTGTGTCCGCAGTCTCTGGTCATCCCCTGTACTGTGTCCGCAGTCTGTGGTCATCTCCTGTACTGTGTCTGCAGTCTCTTGTCATCTCCTGTACTGTGTCCGCAATCTCTGGTCATCTCCTGTACTGTGTCCGCAGTCTCTGGTCATCTCCTGTACTGTGTCCGCAGTCTCTGGTCATCTTCTGTACTGTGTCCACAGTCTCTGGTCATCTCCTGTACTGTGTCCGCAGTCTCTGGTCATCTTCTGTACTGTGTCCGCAGTCTCTGGTCATCTTCTGTACTGTGTCCGCAGTCTCTGGTCATCTTCTGTACTGTGTCCGCAGTCTCTGGTCATCTTCTGTACTGTGTCCGCAGTCTCTGGTCATCTTCTGTACTGTGTCCGCAGTCTCTGGTCATTCCCTGTACTGTGTCCGCTGTCTCTGGTCATCCCCTGTACTGTGTCCGCAGTCTGTGGTCATCTCCTGTACTGTGTCTGCAGTCTCTTGTCATCTCCTGTACTGTGTCCGCAGTCTTTGGTCATCTCCTGTACTGTGTCCGCAGTCTCTGGTCATCTCCTGTACTGTGTCCGCAGTCTCTGGTCATCTTCTGTACTGTGTCCACAGTCTCTGGTCATCTCCTGTACTGTGTCTGCAGTCTCTGGTCATCTTCTGTACTGTGTCCGCAGTCTCTGGTCATCTTCTGTACTGTGTCCGCAGTCTCTGGTCATCTTCTGTACTGTGTCCGCAGTCTCTGGTCATCTTCTGTACTGTGTCCGCAGTCTCTGGTCATTCCCTGTACTGTGTCCGCTGTCTCTGGTCATCCCCTGTACTGTCCACAGTCTCTGGTCATCCCTTGTACTATGTCCGCAGTCTCTGGTCATCTCCTGTACTGTGTCCGCAGTCTCTGGTCATCTCCTGTAGTATGTCCGCAGTCTCTGGTAATCTCCTGTACTGTGTCCGCAGTCTCTGGTCTTCTCCTGTACTGTGTCTGCAGTCCAGTGGTTCAGAATATTTTTTTTCTTGTTTTTCTCCTCTAATACCTAGGTGCGTCTTATGGTCAGGTGCGTCTTATGGAGCGAAAAATACGGTATACTGTAACTGCTACAAACCATACTGCACATAGTTGTGCCTCAATTACTGCCTGCTGTACTCCAAACAGCACATTATCAAAGGTAGCACGCACTAGCCGGATAAAGATATATATAGAAAATATATCTTCATTATTTACTGTTTGTACTGTAATTATCCATTGAATCAATCAATGTTTTTTAGCTTCCTGTGGTTTGCACATTGCTTTAGCCAAGGAGGAGATGTGAGACTATTTATTTTATGTAGAGACATGACACCGTCTATCTTGAGCCGAGATAACCGATAAAATGGCCACGGTGAGCGGGCCAAGATGGCGTCACCGGCACTTATTGTTTACCGCGCATGCGCGGAATTTTCTATATATATCTTTATCCGGCTAGTGTGCGCTCCCTTTGATAACGTACTCTTCCGCACGAAACGCGTCAGGGTGGAGCCTAGCCGGTGACGTCACGCCGCCCCGCACCTCGTGGAGGCTGGCGGCCATCTTTGTTTCTGGGCTACCCTATGTGAGTGTACTGCATTGTGTTCAAATAAAAAACGTCTGTACATACTACACTATCAGTGCTTTTTTGGGGTGGTCTGTATGGTTGAGCCCCCCCCTTTCAAGGTGGATATCTATTTTGGGCGCCCTGCTCTGAGGAGTCCTGACTAGCTGTATGACAACCGTTGCTGGATGCCTGGTGACCCCCTGCTGGTTAGAGGAAGGAGAATCTCCATCAGAGTGACAGCCTGCTAGATGACCCACATTGCCTCAGCCTTCTAGTACCAGGAGTGGTCTGACAACTCAAATGCGCAAATTATGCGCCTTCTGGTGAGTGCATATAGTATATCCACCTATGAGCAAGGAGTCGACAGCATTCGCACTTATTACTGGGACGACTGATATATCACCAGAGGACTCTATTTTCACTTTCAGCACTTTAGCTATCACCCATTTTTTATTTAATTAGATGCATTATGTATATATGAGTCATTGCTTATCCTTTTTTAGCGCTGCATATTTTTATTATTTATATTGTGAAGGTTTGGGTTTGTACCTTTATGCTAGCTGCTCATTATTCATTTCCAAGCACTCATTAATATTTTACTGTTTTGACTCATAAATTTTTGATTATCCAAGTTTGCTTTAATTTTTTTGAGATAATAGAAGTAATAGCCCTACTGTAAGCAATCTTTTTAGAATACTTCACAAAGTCCATGGGGGATGGGGGGAATTTGAACTCACAGGAAGTTTGGAAAATCCCCTGGCTGTTTGAAGTGCTATAGTCAGAACAGGGAAAAATTACGTTTGTTCTGACAAGTTGTGAAAAGCAGCAATGGTGACCTGTCAACCCAATCACTGGCCAGAGATTAGCTACCTCTGGGGGCAACCACTTAAGGTTGTGAAATTGTTTCAGGGTCCGATATCTGTAAGGATGGGTAATAGTATGAACTCAAGGAGGGTGTCTAAGTGTGATAAACCCTACCAATTGACCCAGAGGGAAGAGATGATGGGTAAATATGGACCCTGGGTGATAAAATATACAGTATACATGATTGGGAGCAATGGACTGGATTTAAGTTTTCTAAAAGAGGTACTTTTAAGCCTAAGACTTGGGAGAACCTCTGGTATGATCATCGTAAAAAGATGACACGACCAAGTGAAAGAGATGCTTGGAGTGCATGGATGATAGAATCCACTAATAGGGCTGATTATGTGAACGTTCTTACTGTGAGATTTAGGAAAAGACACACCAAATGACCCTGAGGAGTAGAGACAAGCAAGAACAGCCACTAGAGCCAAAACCCCAGAGTGATGATAAGGGGGATGATGAGGAATTGTCAGGATTAGGGCCTTTACAGTTGCCTGGTCCTTGTTAGCAAATTACTCAAAAGCTGATATGAATTGTCATCTATCAGCAGATGACAAAAAGGGAAAGCCACATCTTGCGGCCAAGTTTGACACCCCAGTTAAAACCCTGAATGAATGATAGACTCTCTGCAGGGCACTGGAACAAAAAGAGAGAGACAGTGCAGCAAGGCAGGGGAAGGGAATGCTGGCATTAATGGAGAAAAGTCTCCCTGGTACCAAAGCCCATATACAGTCAGAAGGGATACTTTCTGCCCCTCTGACAGAAGATCCTCCAAAAAACAGTAGTCCTCCATTTACTGGCTGCGAGCCAGCATTCTTTCTTAGAGAGCAGTTAAAGAGCAATTCTGCTGCTGAGTGCAATACTGGCAATTCTGCTACTGGGTACACTGCGTATGTACCTTTACGCCCCCACGTGACTAGTACCCCTCAGCAAGGACCTGTGTGGTGTCACTCTAACAGGGAAATGACACCCAACGTGGGCACACCTGTATACCATGGGACTGTTAATGCCATCCTTTAGGACTTTGGATAAAGTGCCCCTACCTGGCAGCAACAATCACCACTAGTCTTATTGGGATGCTGTGACAGAACCCCAAAAGACCAATCAACAGTTGATATTTTTTCAGATGACCTATCTGTATATCCTGTAAGAGAACAGGTAGTTTATGATAACAGTGGGAGTTCCACTGGAAAGATGACACATCATGTACCGTGGACTCCTGCGATGAAGGGATTTCTGAGCGTTATCCCCCATCCAAGGACTGATCCCATTAAATTTGCCAAAGAGCTTCTGGACATCCAGGCAAGCTACAATGCAAATTGGGGTGATTTGCTTCAAATAATGAAAAGGGTTTGTGGAGATGGGGACTTTGATGAAATCCTCAGTAAAACTAATATTCCATAGACCAGCGGTTCTCAACCTGGGGGTCGCGACCCCTTTGGGGGTCGAACGACCATTTCACAGGGGTCGCCTAAGACCATCGGAAAACACATATTTCCGATGGTCTTAGGAACCGAGACACCGCTCCTGTCTCAGGCGATCTGTGGGCGGGATGATATGCTGCCCCTGTAACCTGGCCACACCTCCGGGATCACTCAACAGCTCCGCCTCCTCTCCGCTGATTGGCCACCGGAACTGTAGCTCAGGAGAGGCACACAGGCGGCCAATCACCGGCGAGGAGGTGGAGCTTGGAGAGGAGGAGCCGAGCGGCAGCGCGCGGAGATCGAAGAAGATCGAGGGAGCTGCAGGAGCGAGTGAAGAGAGAGGCCAGAGAAGGAAGACAGCTGACAGGTAAGTGCAAATTTTGCTGCTGCAGCCATGTATGCAGGCTGTAGATGGGAGAGGGAGAGAGCGAGCCCAGGCTGGAGCAGGAGTCAGCAAGGTAAGTATCATTGGTGTCAGTGGAAGGGATAGTGCCCCATCATTTGTGTCACTAATACCAACGATGGGGCACTATTCCTCCCCCCACTGACACCAACGATGAGACACTATTCCTCCCCCCCACAGACACCAACGATGGGGCACTATTCCTCCCCCCACAGACACCAACGATGGGGCACTATTCCTCCCCCCACTGACACCAACGATGGGGCACTATTCCTCCCCCCACTGACACCAACGATGGGGCACTATTCCTCCCCCCACAGACACCAACGATGGGGCACTATTCCTCCCACTGACACCAACGATGGGGCACTATTCCTCCCACTGATACCAATGATGGGGCACTAGTCCTCCCACTGACACCAATGATGGGGCACTATTCCTCCCACTGACACCGATGATGAGGCACTATTCCTCCCAATGACACCAACGATGGGGCACTATTCCTCCCACTGACTCCCACGATGGGGCACTATTCCTCCCACTGACACCCACGATGGGGCACTATTCCTCCCACTGACACCCACGATAGGGCACTATTCCTCCCACTGATACCAATGATGGGGCACTATTCCTCCCACTGATACCAATGATGGGGCACTATTCCTCCCAATGACACCCACGATGGGGCACTATTCCTCCCACTGACACCCACGATGGGGCACTATTCCTCCCACTGACACCCACGATGGGGCACTATTCCTCCCACTGACACCCACGATGGGGCACTATTCCTCCCACTGACACCCACGATGGGGCACTATTCCTCCCACTGACACCCACGATGGGGCACTATTCCTCCCACTGACACCAATGATTGGGCACTATTCCTCTCACTGACGCCAATGATTGGGCACTATTCCTCCCACTGACGCCAATGATGGGGCACTATTCCTCCCACTGACGCCAATGATTGGGCACTATTCCTCTCACTGACGCCAATGATTGGGCACTATTCCTCCCACTGACGCCAATGATGGGGCACTATTCCTCCCACTGACGCCAATGATGGGGCACTATTCCTCCCACTGACACCAATGATGGGGCACTATTCCTCCCACTGATACCAATGATGGGGCACTAGTCCTCCCACTGACACCAATGATGGGGCACTATTCCTCCCACTGACACCGATGATGAGGCACTATTCCTCCCAATGACACCAACGATGGGGCACTATTCCTCCCACTGACTCCCACGATGGGGCACTATTCCTCCCACTGACACCCACGATGGGGCACTATTCCTCCCACTGACACCCACGATAGGGCACTATTCCTCCCACTGATACCAATGATGGGGCACTATTCCTCCAACTGATACCAATGATGGGGCACTATTCCTCCCAATGACACCCACGATGGGGCACTATTCCTCCCACTGACACCCACGATGGGGCACTATTCCTCCCACTGACACCCACGATGGGGCACTATTCCTCCCACTGACACCCACGATGGGGCACTATTCCTCCCACTGACACCCACGATGGGGCACTATTCCTCCCACTGACACCCACGATGGGGCACTATTCCTCCCACTGACACCCACGATGGGGCACTATTCCTCCCACTGACACCAATGATTGGGCACTATTCCTCTCACTGACGCCAATGATTGGGCACTATTCCTCCCACTGACGCCAATGATGGGGCACTATTCCTCCCACTGACGCCAATGATTGGGCACTATTCCTCTCACTGACGCCAA